CTTAGATCATTTCCTGTCACTCTTTGGAATAAAAGCCAGAACTCACTATGGCATTCTAAACAGACTTGTCTCTGGCCATTGTTAATTTATTTATTTATTCAATAAGTATTTATTGTATACCTTATATGTGCTTCGTCCTAGGGAAATGATAGTGATGGAAATAGAACAGTCCTCATTGTCAGCTGAGTTTAAATTTTTTACTATTCCATTTATTATTTCCATGCTTTAATTTCCATTAACTGTTCCATGTTTCCCTAAACGTACCATACAGCTTTCATATGTCTATGCCTGAGTTATATTGTTGTTGGAATTTTGCTGTGATGTTTTGCTTACTTCCTTTGGGATGTTTTCTCTGTAATCATTTCCTCCTCTCTGCCTTAAAACTTTGTTTAATCCAATCTAGTGAGAGGACAAACACTAATAAGTAGATTCTAAAATGAAGGTAATATACCAATATAGCAGAGGCAGAGAGCAGGGCATGGCCGGCTGGAGTGCAATGGTGCGATCTTGGCTCACCGCAACCTGTACCTCCTGGGTTCAAGTGATTTTCCTGCCTCAGCCTTCCAAAGAGCTGGGATTACAGGCATATGCCACCACACCTGGCTAATTTTGTACTTTTAGTAGAGATGGGGTTTCTCCGTTAACATTAAGCAATCTGACTTCCCCGCTTCAGCATGAGTTCTGTGAGAGAAAGGGCCATATGTTTGTATCCTCATTACCCAGAAGGTTCTGGTCCATAGCTGGTGCTCCATGCTTGTTCAGCTGAATTGTGGTACTCTTCTTTTAGTAGTCCCAGAGCATTTTTAATATTTAAGTCAGTAAATACACATTAGTTTGAGACAGAAAGAAATATTTATTCACAAGCTGAATCTTAGTCTGAATAGAGATAATTACCATTTTTAAGGTCATGTGGTGTTGGAAATAAAGGATGAGAACTTGACTATTTTGGCAGCATTTGTTCAATGTCAATATTTGTTTTGTGAGAACCCTTCAATGTTGTTAGAAGTTTTCATCTCATGTCCTTTAAGAACTGATTTGGTGCTGCTTTTATTGTGTTCCTGCATATAATAGATGCTCAGTAAACATGTGTCTTCCTTTACAGCTCGAGTTGCCATCAACCTTCTTCTCATACTTTATAGTACACAGTCATACTAAATAAGGCATTGTAGGTTCCCAAATTCTACATGTTGTTTGGGCCCTTGTCCTTTACTCATACTGACCCATATGCCTTGGCTGTCTTCCTTTCTCCGTCTGTATTAGTCCGTTCTCACGCTGCTACGAAGAAATACCTGAGACCGGGTAATTTATAAAGAAAAGAGCTTTAATTGACTCACAGTTCCACATGGCTAGGGAGGCCTCAGGAAACTTACAATCATGGTGGAAGGCACCTCTTCACAGGGCAGCAAGAGAGAGAATGAGTGCCATGTGAAGGGGGAAGCCCCTTATAAAACTGTGAGATCTTGTGAGAACTCACTCACTATCGCGAGAACAGCGTGGGGAAAACTGCCTTCAGGATTCAGTTTTGTCTACGTGGTCCCACCCTTGACATGTGGGGATTATTACAATTCAGGGTGAGATTTGGGTGGGGACACAGAGCCAAACCATGTCACCATCCTACTTCCTTAATCTGTCAGCTCCTCCTTTCCGCTGCCTTTTGCAGCAAACCCCTAATCCTTCTTCACCCGTCAGCTCAAATGTTACCTCTTCAGAGAAGCCTTCCCTGTCACTCCCACTTAGGTTCTTCTTCTTTTAAGCAGGTATGGCTCACATCACACAATTCCCAGCCTAGTAACTAATTCATTTTATAACCAAGCTCACCTCTCTTGAGAGGGAGGGACTGCTCTTTTGAGAGCAGGGACTGACTTTATTTGAGGCTAAGCAGTATTTATAGTATTGATATAAACATTTGTTGAATGAACAATAATAATGGCTAACATATTGAATATATTGTTCTTAGCATCTTAACATGCAGAGCTAACTGTATGAGGTAGATTCATTATCAGATTACAGTAGTTCTTCAGTATATCAGCTAGCTTAATGACAGTTGAAAGATCATGCTAGCAATTGAACAAATGTATCTGACACACCTCTGAGCACAGAGAGGATGGCTTTTCCTCTAGGCAGATTTTTTTTAACAGGTTGCTCAGTTTTTCATAGGATAATATAGACTCTGCTCACTACAGTAATTCTATTAAGACATGAAGCAATTTAGAGTAGATACACTATAAATAAATGCCCAGGGTAGCTATGGCAATGAAGTTTGTCAAAAACATCACTCAGAGAAGCAATTTTTATGTATGTTCTGTCTGAAAGAGATACAGCCCACCCATCTCTCTAAAATACATTCATGGATTAAGTCAAATTAACAGGCTGTCTTTAGATTACATGTACCCTATTCTGTAGAACTGGTTTCACTGAATTGACCTTTGAAGTGATGCTGTAAGACTGTATTAATGGATGTCTGATAGTTTCATAGAACTTAGCCCATTTTTAAAATTATTATACTTTACATTCTGGGATACATGTGCAGAATGTGCAGGTTTGTTACATAGGTATACATGTGCCATGGTGGTTTGCAGCACCCATCAAGCCGTCATTTACATTAGGTATTTCTTCTAATGCTATCCCTCTCCTAGTTCCCCAACCCTCGACAGGCCCAGTGTGTGACGTTCCCCTCCCTGTGTCCATGTGTTCTCATTGTTCAGCTCCCACTTATGAATGAGAACTTGCGGTGTTTGGTTTTCTGTCCTTGCGATAGTTTCCTCAGAATGATGGTTTTCAGCTTCATCCACTTCCCTGCAAAGTATATGAACTCATCCTTTATTATGGCTGCAGAGTATTCCATGGTGTATATGTGCCACATTTTCTTTATCCAGTCTATCATTGATGGGCATTGGGGTGGTTCTAAGTCTTTGCTATTAACGAACAATGCTCGCAATAAATCATAATGTGTGCATGTGATCTTTATAAATAGAACTGATTCTATAATCCTTTGTTGGTATTAATACCAAGTAATGGGATGTGGTCCAAATGGATATTTCTCGAGTTCTAGATCCATTGAGGAATCCAGCCACACACTCTCTCCGCACAATGGTGACAAACAATCTTAACACTCCACCAACAGTGTAAAAAGGTGTTCCCATTTCTCAACATCCCCTCACAGATCTGTTGGTTTGCCTAAACTTTTTAAATGATTGTCATTCTAACTGGCGTATGAGATGAGTACTTCATTGGGGTTATTTGATTTGCATTTCTCAAATAGGAGTACACTGATGAAGCTTTTTTTTTTCAGTTTGTTGGCTGCATAAATATCTTCTTTTGAGAAGTATCTGTTCATATCCTTTGGCCACTTTTTGATGGGGTTGCTTGTGTTTAATTTGTTTAAGTTCTTTAAGTTCTTTATAGATTCTGGATATTAGCCCTTTATCAGATGGATACATTGCAAAGCTTTTCTCCCATTCTGTAGGTTGCCTGTTCACTCTGATGATGCTTTCTTTTGCTGTGTGGAAGCTCTTTGGTTTAATTAGATCCCATTTGTCAACTTTGAACTTAGCTTATTTTATCTATTGCAAGGATACAGTATCTTAAGGAGATTGTTATACTACACAATTTTCCTTTTGTAAGTCTAGAAAGACTTAAACAATTTTTCGTATTAGAAACAATTGTGCTTTTCCTGAACAATTAGCTTGCTTTTTCTTTATGGGTACTGTGGATTGTGTAACTGATTAGGCTTACCTTTTTTGTATAGAGTCATGGGATGAATAGATACCAGTTTGTGATGTGACTGTTGCAGTTATATGGAATGTCACACACTTCAGTAAATTTAGATATTAACTTCATTCTTGGCTCCATTATATTTTGTTATCCTGGCTTTTCTCTCTCTTTATCTTGCTTTTTTTTTCTTTCCTTCTTTCTTTCAAATTATCCTGTCTTCCTCATTTGCATCATATGTATTCTTTTAAGCTACCTTGTCATTATTTGAAATTACATTAAGTATATATACACACAAATATATATATGAATGTAAATTCCTAAAATGAATTTAGATTTTAAAAGAGCTATCTGTAAAGTAAGCTTTTAAAACAACTTCCTTTGAAGTTCTTTGTTTGCTATTAGTGTTATATTTTGCTTCAGGACATTAAGCAAGATTTTGTTAGATTCCTATTTCCTTTCAAGTTTAGTTCAACAATTATATTACAGCCTAGTTAGACATGGATGTGGTTAATATTTTCAGTCGATGTAATCTTTTACTCAAATAAAACACTTGTGATGTTACAGACATTGTAATCCAATGTACAGGGCTATGAGTAAAGTTATAATGAACTTTGTAACTATAAGACTCAACTCCAGAAAACGTGAGGGAAGGACATAAAGCACTCACGTTTTTATGTGAGTAACGAATACCTACTCTAAAAATGTATATTGACATTGGACTTCATATTCTAAACTACAAATGGTAGGTGGTATAGCATAGTGGTTAAGGACACGAAAATGTAAAGGGTAGGTTGTACAGTAGAGTGACTAAGGGTACAGACTGAAGCTAGACCTCTTCAGATTGACAAATTGGCCATTTGACATAGAGAAAATTATTTAACCTCTCCGTGCCTTAGTTACATTATCTGTAATATAGGGAGCAATAATAGTACCTACCTCTTGGGGTTGTAATCTCTGACATGTAGTAAGCGTCTAGTGAGTCTCAGTTATTACTGTTTTTAACATATGGTATAATATCTCAGAATGTATGTTGTTGATTTTAATTTTTAGGTCTCTTGCAGCTGAATGGGGTAAATATGGAATGCGATTCAATGTGATTCAGCCAGGGCCTATAAAAACCAAAGTAAGTTGTATTTTGCTTGTTATCACATTGTGAATGATTAAATAATGAAACACTGATAGATATATTCTGGTTGTTGTGTAGAGGACTTTCCAGAGATGCCTGGGTTTAGAGCCCTGGTTCTAAGGAAGAGGCCTTTGCCTTTATTCATTATCGAATATAAGAAATAAGGAGGCGGGCAGGAATATAGCAGCTATGCAACTTCTTCATAATGTCAATTTCAGTGTCTTAATCTTTTGGGATCTTTTATGCCATCAGTGTTGGCACTTTATCTGATTTGCTTCAGTGGTTATTGTCCTGTATTTGTTAACTTTCACGACATTTTAAAGGCTCTTACATTGTCTGACGTCCTTTTTTAAAAAAAAATCAAGGAAATGTAACTATATTTATAGTTTGAGAGATGCTCCAGTAACTTATTATACAGTCTTTGTCTTGCTATAGGTAGGTAGCATTTTCCTTGACTCGTGCTTGTGCCCTTTCACTCTCAGTCAATTATGCATGTCATCTAACGCCCACATCTCTCTGATTATGAATCCTTCTGACAGCATGGATTTCACCTGTAAGTAATAATCCTTGCAGATACTCATTGCAACTTGTAATTATCTCTAATGTTGTCACAGATGTTGCTCAGAATGTCCACAGCTTCTCTGCTCTCTCATTATTCCAAAATAGCTTCACCCTCACACTTCTCTTAGTTTTTACCTAAAGCAGGTATTTATAATGCCAAGCAGATGTAATGTTGAAAGGTCAGGCAAAATTTGGTAACTTGTTTCAGTTGTGTAAACATATTGGAAAATAATACTAAGGGATATTTGGGTTATAGGTAGCTCTGGGTATTAAGTAATAACTTGGAAATGTCCATATTAGTTTATTTAGCAGTTTCAAGGATGGGAAATAGAAATAAAAGCTTCCTGAGTGATTGCAACTTGATTGACTATCTTATTTATCTGACAATTCAATACTAAACAGTCTAATACAGTTAGTGGAAAGAAACTTAAAAACATAACATTAAAACACATGATTCAGGGTGGCCCTGTCCTAAGCATATCTGAAAAGAGGCTTATAGACACAAATGCTTCTCTCCAGGATACCAATATCTAGGGAAAAATCACCTGCGTTTTATTTATTTATTTAACCTATCTTTATTGACTGTTCACTGTATGCAAGGGTACTGAGAAAGATATAGAAATATCTCTAAGAAAGTGCTTACCACTAAGTTTATAGTCTAGCCACGGAGATAGGAGTTGTACCCAAATAATAACTATTTACTGTTAAAGAGATTAAAAGAAAACTGAAGTGTAGAAACTCCCTAGCATGCACTTTTTAGAACCAGGATTGGGACCAGTTGCTACCCCTTGTCTCTGGGCTTTATACCCTCCTGGGAAGAACTGGAGGTCTCTCATGGAGTCCTCTGAGTGTTTGTTCTGTCTTCTGGCTGCGTTATTGAGGAAAACTGTCACCTAAACTTCAAGGCACTAGTATAGAAAAATCCAGTTGTTTTTATTAATCAGTGCACATCCATAATTCATCTTGGTTTGTTCCTTCACATCACTGACAGAAAGCAAATTGTTTGGCAAATTTAGTTATAGTTTTTCTCTGTCTAGAATCTAATTGAATTTCTACATCCTTGTTTTCTTCCTTTTCTAATATTTCGGGATGAAAGAAAAGGAATTTCCTCTTAAATATTTCCTATGAGCCACTTTTCTGTGTTTATTAAATGAAAAGACAGTAATACCACTGCCTTTACCACCTAAGCTTGTACATATTTCAGAGTACCTTTATATACATTTTTTCATTTGATGCTTATAACAGTTTTGTGAGGTAGCTAAGATAGATATCCTCATTTTACATAGAAGAAACTAAGATAAAAGGGTTATATCTTCAGTGATCTATTTTTTTTTAAAGAAGAATTTGGTGAAATTGTTTTTTCACTTACAAAGCCTGAGGTTTTAAGCTGCTTGGTAGCATGACACATTTTTTTCTTAAGTAGGAAAGGAGTTGATTGAAAAACCCAACACAACCCAATTGTTTTCTTAATTTCTAAGGGTGCCTTTAGCCGTCTTGACCCAACTGGAACATTTGAGAAAGAAATGATTGACAGAATTCCCTGTGGTCGCCTGGGGACTATAGAAGAACTCGCAAATCTTGCTGCTTTCCTTTGTAGTGATTATGCTTCTTGGATTAATGGAGCGGTAAGCATTGTTTATTTCTCTTCACTTTTTTTTTCAGGAGTGTGTTTGGGGCAGGGAAGTCTGTTCTGGAACCAATCCTGACAATGAATCTGACATATGCTATGTGAATATGATTTAAAATACGTATTTAGCTGTAAAATATAAAAATATTATATGTTGTTTAACTATGACATTTATTCGTGATGTATTAGTCCGTTCTCACACTGCTAAAGACATACCTGCGACTGTAATTTAGAAAGAAAAGAGGTATAAGGGAAGCGCAAGGAGTCAGGGATTCCCTTTCTAACAAAGGGGAGCCCTGACAGATGTGTACCTGGAAATTGGAACACCACCCTAATACTGCACTTTTCCAATGGTCTTAGCAAACGGTCCCACCAGGAGATATATCCCGCACCATGGCTTGGACGGTCCTATGCCACAGAACCTCACTCATGCTGGCACGCAGGTCTGAGATCGAATGCAAGGCCACAGCAAGACTGGGGGGAGGAGCATGTGCCAAATGCTGAGCTTGCTGAGTAGGTAAACAAAGTGGCCCGGAAGCTCGAAGCTGGGTGGAGCCCACCAGCTCAGAGAGCCTGCCTGCCTCTGTAGACTCGCACCTCTGAGGGCAGGGCATAGCTGAACAAAGGCAGCAGAAACTTCTGCAGACTTAAAGGCCCTGGTCTGCAGCTTTCAAGAGAGTAGTGGTTCTCCCAGCACGGAGTTTGAGATCTGAGAACGGACAGACTGCCGCCCGCAAGTGGTCCCTGACCCCTGAGTAGCCGTAACTGGGGAGACACCTCCCACATAGCCGACTGAAACCTCATAAAGCCGGGTCCGTCCTGGACAAAGCTTCCCAGAGGGACGATCGGGCAGCACATTTGCCGTTCTGCAATATTTGCTGTTCTGTAGCCTCCACTGGTGTTACCCAGGCAAACAGCATCTGGAGTGGACCTCCAGCACTCCAGCAAACTCCAGAAAACGACCTGCAGCTGGGGTCCTGACAGAGGAAACTAACAAACAGAAAGGACATCCACACCAAAACCCATCTGTGTAGCACCATCATTAAAGACCAAATGTAGACAAAACCTCAAAGATGGGGAGAAACAAGAGCCGAAAGCTGAAAATTCTAAAATTAGGCAGCTCTTCTCTCAAAGGAATGCAGCCCTCGCCAGCAATGAACAAAGCTGGATGCAGAATGACCTTGACGAGTTGAGAGAAGAAGGCATTAGACGATCGGTAATAACAAACTTCTCCATGCAAAGGAAGATGTTCGAAACATTGCAAAGAGCTAAAAACCTTGGAAAAACATTAGACAAATGGCAAGCTAGAATAAATAGCATAGAGAAGACCTTAAAGTGACCTGATGGAGCTGAAAACCATGGCATGAGAGAATACGTGACACATGCACAGCTTCAGTAGCTGATTTGATACGTGGAAGAAAGGGTATCAGTGATTAAAGATCCAATGAATGAAATGAAGCGAGAAGAGAAGTTTCGAGAAAAAGAGTAAAACGAAACAAACAAGCCTCCAAGAAATATGGGACTATGAGAAAAGACCAAATATCATCTGATTGGTGTACCTGAAGGTGACGGGGAGAATGGAACAAGCTGGGAAAACACTGTTCAGGATATGACCCCAACTACGAAGGCAGGCCAACATTCAAATTCAGGAAATACGAGAATGCCACAAAGATACTCCTCGAGAAGAGCACCTCCAAGACACATAATTGCCAGATTCACAAAGTGAAATGAAGGACAAAATGTTAAGGGCAGTCAGAGGAAAGTCGGATTACCCACAAAGGAAGCCATCAGACTAAGAGCGGATCTCTCGACAAACTACAAGCTAGAAGAGAGTAGGGGCCATATTCAACATTCTTAAAAGAATTTTCTACTCAGAATTGCATATCAGCCAAACTAAGTTCATAAGGAAGAGAACATGAATCCTTTACAGACAGCAAAATGCTTAGAGTTTTGTCACATCCCAGCTGCCTTATAGAGCTCCTAAAGGAGCATTAACTTGGAAAGGAACGCTGGTACAGCCACTGCAAAAACTGCCATAATTGTAAGGCAATCGATGCTAGGAGGAAACTGCATCAACTATGAGCAAATAACACAGCTAACATCATAATGACAGGATCAAGTTCACACATAAACTTTAACCTTAACTGTAAATGGGCTAAATGCTCCAATTAAAAGACACGACTGGCAAATTGGATAAAGAGTCAAGACCCATCAGTGTGCTGTATTCAGGAGACCCATCTCTGTGGCAGAGACACACATAGGCTCAAATAAAGGGATGGAGGAAGATCTACCAAGCAAATGGTAAACACACAAGAAAAGCAGGGTTGCAATCTTAGTCTCTGATAAACAGACTTTAAACCAACAAAGATCAAAGAGACAAGAAGGCCATTACTAACGTAAAGGGATCAATTCACAAAGAAGAGCTAATTATCCTATATATTATTGCACCAATGCAGGAGCACCCAGATCATAAGCAAGTTCTTAGAGACCTACAAAGAGACTTAGCTCCACACACTAAATATGGGAGACTTTAACACCCACTGTCAACATTAGATAGATCAACGAGCAGAAAGTATACAGATACCCAGGAATTGGAACTCATCTCTGCACCAAGCAGACCCTAATCAGACATCTACAGAACTCACCACCAAATCACAGAATATCATTCTTCTCCAGCACTACTCACTTATTCAAAATTGACCACATAGTTGAAGAGTAATAGCGCCTCCTCAGCAAATGTAAAAACGGAAATTGTAACAGACTGGTCTTCTCGACCACATTGCAACAGACTAGAACTCAGGATTAAGAAATCACTCAAACCGTCAACTCACAAT